GCCTGGAAAGTCAACCTTGTCGTCTGGAGAGAGGGGAGAGTAGAGGCCCGAGGTAGGGGAATCAATCTGAAGCAGAAGCCCTTCTTCCTGGAGCATCCTAGACACATTAGCTGTGACCTCCGCAATGATAAATATGAAAACCGCGTCCCCAAAAGGGGTACCCGGGCGCGTGCCACGGAAGGTGATCGCCACACGCTCGGCCCCAGGGACCTGAAACCAACCAAGTCGAAATGCCTCCTCTACCATGCCGACAAAGTGCCCAGACAGCCCGTGGCGACGAAGAAGCGGCAGGTCCAGAAGCCGCCGCTCAAGCAGAGGCAAATAAGCCTCTGGTAATCCCGCGCCAGCCAGCAAGTTTCGAAGCGAATCCCTGGAAGTGTCTGTGGCCAGTACTAGCTCGCGTATGGCAGTGTAGAAGGCATTGACCACATCCACGAACAAAAAACCTAAACACAACTTGCGTGCAATCGCTATCCGCTGCAACACTCTAGCTGCCAAGATAGCCATGGTAGTGCCACGACCTGGTATTGCAGCGTATTGGGTCGCTCCCACAGCGTCCTGCACGGCTGGCAACATCCGAGCTCTCAAGCACGCATGATATCTTTTACCAATATGTGAGGCAACTAGGATGGAGCGAGAGGAGGATGCCGCAAACGGGTTGCCTTTACCTTTGGGGATATGCGGTAAGTCACCCCCCTTCCATTGAATCGGTTCACTAACGAGCATGGCTGCCTTGAACACGAGAGGGTAGAACGCTTTTGCGAGCGGAGCCGCACAGGCTCTAACAAATGACCCATGAAGCCCATCAGGGCCTGCAGCACCGTTGCCCGTGGACCGAAGAGCTTTCTCGAACTCAGCAAACGTTGGGATGTTGACGACGTCCCTCGAGGCCCCATTCAAATCCCCCATCTTGTCCACACATATGGCTTCGAAGAGGTCGGGGGACATCAATGCCGCAAGTTCCTGGGCAGCGAAGTGCTGCAGCCAGTGGTCGTGCGCCTGCACTACGGTAGGCAGCAGTTCATTGTCAGGTCCCAAGATGGCCGGCAACACCTTGTGTTGCCTATGTCTTTTTCCCGAGGCTCCCAAGAGCCGGAGGGCCGAAAAAGCAGAAGCAAAGTCACGAGCGGACCAAGCGTCCCCCACGGATTTAGCAATGTCCTGAAGTTTCCGACTTGCTTCGCTCTTGATGATATTATGAATTTGCTGCACCTGCGGCATCAACAACCAAAATTGCAGCGCAGAGGTACGCATAGCAAGCGCCCTTGCCAGGCACAAAAGTGAATGAAACGAAACTGCCATCGCCTCGCCTCCATACGGGGGGCCAGGTGCACCTGGAGGGAACATGAGAAAAGAGACTGCAGCCGCATCTGCTGATACCGCCTGCCTGCGATTGCATTTGTTCCTGCATCGTAGCTTCCACCTTGCAGGCAGCGCGACCTTTACAACAGAGGCGACCTGCTTAAGAATACGTCCCGCATCTGCACATACATTATGCACATCCCTGTGGGCACGTCCTATCATGACTGACTCATGTCTCGCTGCCCTGAGAGCCGCGATCCTGTCTTTCCAGGCAGTGAGGACTCTAGCCAACAACATCCGATTGGTTTGCCCGTAGACGAACACAGTTTCAACCTCGAAGCTCGCCAGCCCTCCAGAGGCCGAATGCGCAAGAAACGGGACCAAAAAATCCGAAGCAAAACCAGAAAACCTGGACCCGCCACAGATCGGGATGGCACACGAATGCCTCCACGCAAGCAGAACAAGCCTAGCCCACACGTGTGCAGCCAGACCCCTGATCTGGGACAACGCTCGACGCATCCTGTGCAACGCGGCAACCTGCAGGCGAGCGTCCCTTGAGAGTCCAGTATCCTTCTGGCTCTGATCTAGCTCGAAAAACCTAACCATGCCCTGACGTGCATACCCCGAGACCTGAGCACAGTGCCTGGACGGGGGGACAGCCCAATGTGGCTTGGGAGCCTGATCCATATATTTGGCGAATTCTTCCTGAATAGCAGCATCCGCCAGCTTAGCACGATCCAGCCGTGGCTTCGAGGAAACGATCCCCTGGAAAGGCCTCAAGTCCAGGGGCATTCTGAAGTCTAACTGCACTAGCGCATGGTCTGGTCGGGCAATAGCAAGCTCGACCGCTTTATTGACTGTAGGATCTACTGCAAAAGAACGCAACGACATTGGCACGGCGACGAAATCAATCCGTCTCGTGGCCACAAGTCCCTGTGGAGGCGTCCACGTCTTAGAAGCCTGCGGGTCACCAGAGAACGTAGCGGGAAGCATGAACGCACAATCCTTAATGCACTTATGAAAGCATGCGCCGTTGTAGTTCTCGTTTTCCCTAGCAATAGGACCTACTGCTTCTGAGGGGACACTGCCAACAGTAGCGTTAGCATCGAGAAGTAAAAAGGTAAACGGGGTGGCCTCAAGAGTTTTTGTCACCACACCAGAAAACTTATTCCACCAGGCAACGATATCCGCTTTGTCGTGCTTAGAGTGCGGTGCGTGCCCAACAATGAATGACAGAGACACCGAGCCAACTGCAACGTTGGCAATCAAAATCGTGGGTTCAGCTAGTGCAACAGTGACAAGATGTCTCTTGATCGTGCTATCCACCAGGGACGGCACCAAAGGGACCCCTTTCCTCAACCAAAGCGAGCAACCATGGGACCCCTGGGAGGTGGCTGGCCCATGTAGGACCAGGAAGTTCCCGATGTCAGTCCATCCTTGGCGGGGGACTCTTGACTCAGCCGCGCCCACAACATGCAACTTAGCCGCTTCAAACTGTGCCGCCAGCATGCGTGGACGCCCTGCTGCATACAGACCGACTGGGGCCTTCTTGCCATTGCCTGTAGCTCGCAGGCTCAGAATATTAGCAAAGGCCATACGCACCGAGAGCTTGGCATGCGGCACGACATCCCTGGACAATGAAGCTGCTGCGCCTGGCTGTGGGGACCTAGAAAACGGCAGATCGTGATCAGGGCCGAGCGGGACGGAGCGAGGCGGGCAAACATCTCGAAAGCTGGGGGCATCGGTAACTAGAATAAAGTCACCTTGGCAAACCGACGGGAACTGCTGCCGTTTCTCAATATCCAGCAATTCGAGCCACGCCCACGAAGCGGCGAGTGGCTCCACCAGCCAACGTTCCCACGGGCAAACCGGAGGGGGCTCCACAACCTTTAAGGCGGCCAATGCACACAGGGTATCAGCCATTTCATTGAGGGGGTCCTCTAGGTGAGCCTTCACGTGATGGAAAGACGTCGCCGCAACCTGTTGAAGCGAGAGAACGAGGGAACGCAAACATCTGGCTACGCCTGAAATGTCTGGCAGCCCTCCACAACCAAACGCCGCTCTGACGACAGACAAATTGTCAACGTGAAAGCTGGCATCAGTACACTTTGCCTGGACAGCCCAAGCAACTGCCCACAGCATTGCCACGGCCTCTGCTGCCATACTGGCAAAAGCACGAGAAATTGACATGGCATCCAGGTCGAGGGTGCCCGCAAAGAACCCTCCAAAGTGCCAGGACCCTGACGGATGTAAGAGAAGCACGACGAAAGCCCAAGACGGTGGCACCCCTCCACCACCTCCCGACCCGTCAGAATAAATGAAGGCACGACAGAGGTGGGGATGATCAGGTGGGAGAGGAGCAAGAGAGGTAAGGTAAGCACGCGAGCAAGGAAGCAAGAAGCGCTCGATGTCCTGCCAGCTCCTTGCAGGTGCCCACGACCAGGGTGCCTTAATCGCCTCCAAGAGGCCTGAGCATACTACAGTCGGAGACCTTATAGTGGTAGGGTTGCCACCCGGATCGCCATCATTGAGATCGCACGGGATCGGGGTGGCTGGTCCTGTTACCCCTGAGGATCCTCGGCGTCTTCCTCTGCGGGCTCCTCGCCCCCCCCTCGAACTCGCCTGACTGGCGACCGAGAGCTGTCTCTCTGCCTGCTTGGTGCCGCTGTCGAGCCACCTGGGCTCCGCGGCGCCGCAGCAGGCGCTGGGATGGAGGCAAACGTAGACGATTGGCCAGGTGCACTGGCAGAGGGCATCAGGAACTGCGGCGGCGGCACCACTCCACTTGGCGGCGTCCTGGTGGCCGCAAGCAGCGCTTCGTGCTTCGCGTTCAAAATGTTGAACTGCGAGCCCAGGCTGTTGACGTTGCTGTCGATCCTTTGCTGGAACATGACCAAATTCTGAGAAATCGACGCCAGCTGGGACTGCACCAGAGCCAGATCGACCACCTGACCAGGCTGAAGCCCAGGCTGCGCTGGCGCGGGCTGCGTCTGCGGCGCCCGCGCTGCGGGCGGCGCGGCGGCCGCCGCAGGCGCACCACCTGGCTCCTCGCTGGCATCGTCGGTCTCCATGATACCTGGCTCTCCCAGCGGCTCGGCGTCGACGGGCTCCATGGCCTCGATCTCCATCAGCGCCTGCTGGTGCCGCGAAACCCACTGATCGGACTGGTCCCGCTTGACTCTCAATGCGTCTAGCTCGGACTCTTTGTTTCGAATCTCCTGCTCTTGAGCTTCCAACTTCGCCTGCGACCTCTGAAGGGCAGCCCTTTGTCGCTCTCGCTGTTGATGCCACGGTCGGCACAGGTGGATGGCCGTGAGCAAGACTGCATACCAGTCTCTCTCGTCCTCGCTGGCATCCCCAGCTTCTTCTTTCATACGGATTGTGGCAGCAAGAACTTTCATTTCTGCCCTTCTCCTGATGTACGTCTTCCGATCGGATTCTGTCGCATTCTCGCCAGGCAGCTGCGGAAATCGATGATGATATACTGAGGGCTGGCAATATATTGAGTGGCGCTGAAACATTCGTTGCTCCATCCCCCTCTTCGTCTGCGAAAGTCACGGAAGGTGATCTCGCTCTTTGATCCTGCCTCTGCAGTCCTCTCCTTGGCCCCCTTTGACGATCTTCTTGCCTGAGGCTGTGCCGATTGTGACCCTCCTGATCCAGCTCCTTGGGCGTTCCTCACCCACGGTTCTCGGACCATGCCGTACGCCATCGACTGTTGAGGAGACGGCCACGAACTCGGCGCTTGGTTGGACATCATTTGCTGAGGCTGGAACTGTCGACCACGCTGTTGGCCAGGCACGCGAGGAGGGGCCAAACCACGACCGCTGGGCATCTGCTGAGACTGATCGGGCATGCACGTCGAACAAAAACTGGAGGCAAAGGAATTGACGCCACCGCATATTTCACACAACCAGTTGTCTTGCATCCGAGACTGCGACGAGTGATGTTGACTGAGACGAGACGCAGCGGCGGCGACGCGGAGCAGCGTGCGGTCGAGGGACCTCTGGTGCCGCTCTCGCTTGTGCCACCCTCCGTCAGACGGAATTGCGGCGGGCCGCCAGGCTGGCGGCTGGCGCGCGAGGCCCCTGAATCTGGCGGGGAAGATACAAAATTGCCAGAAACAAAACCAGCCACCAGGAAATGTCTCCGGTGGCCTGGGCCTTAGGAGGAGGAGGAGGAGGAGGAGGAGGAGGAAGAGGGAGGAAGGGAGGAGCGAGTAGGAAAGCAGGGGTGAGGAAGCCAGAAAAGTAAGGAGAAGGAGGAGGACGGAAGGCGGAAGGTGGAGGAGGATGGGAAGAGCGGAAGAGGAGTAGGGTAGAAGCGAGGAGGAGGAGGAGGAGGAGAAGGAGTGGAAGTAGCGAACAACACCACGCGTACCTAAAACATGAGCTTGAACGCGCTACTTCCCCCCGCGGCGGTCCGCCTCCTCCGCTCCCCGCCAGGCCCTCTTCAGCAAGGCCTCGGGCGCGGTCCAGGACGGCGCCCAGCGCCTCCCCCCCCCGTGGACCAGACGGCGAGGTCGAGGAGGAGGAGAAGGAGGAGGACCAGTGGAAACCCAAGAGTCATCAACGATGTTGGGATTAACCCTCTGCATCGGCCCCTACATCGGTTCATTTCCACCGAGGGAACTGCCTCGCTGGAAGACAACCGCTTGAAGACCCTGAAGCATGCCAAAATAGTGCTCTCGGGATTCCAACGCCACGGATCGACTTGAATATTGCGATTTGACGATCTTGAATCGTGCCAGAACACTATTCCTGGGACTTCAACACCGCGAACCAGCGTAACTGTTGCACCCTCATAGTCCTGAATCCTTCCAAATCACCATTTCTGGTTGGTTGATCATGGGAACCCGTGAGACTCATTCAAATGTTGAAAACGAATGTGCACGGCGCTAAGGCAATAGCCACATTTTGAAAAGGAACCGCCCTCAATCCGTGAAACCCGCTCACATGTTGAAAAAGAATGTGCGCGTCGCTAAGGCGAGAGCCACATTCTTTAAACGACCCGCCATCAACCCATGAAGATCTTGCAAATGTCTACCACGAATGTGCGCGGCACTACGAGAGCCACATCTTGAAAACCACCCGCCCCCAATATATGAAACTAACTCATACACATAACGGGGGACCGGGTCCGGGGGCTGAGGGCCGGGACCCCGACCGCAAATGTGGGGCCCGCCGCGACGGGAGCCCTGCCAGAGCGCCGGGAACCGTCCAAGATCGCCCGAAGATGGCTTCGGAACGCTCGAAAACGCGCTCCGATGGATCCAAATGCCTTCAAGACGACTCCCATGACGCCAAGAAGGCCCCCGAAGACGCCCCAAGAGGCACCACGAGAGAGCCCCAGTAAGCAAAAATCGTTGATTCCCTTTCGGAAAACTGATGTTTTTGGCCCAGGCCGGTCGAGGATGCCCCCAAGAGGGCCACAAGACGGACCACGAGGGGGCCAAGACGGCCCACGAGGCGCCCAAACCGGAAGGGGGGGGGCGGGAGGGGGGCATAACTCAGCGCGCCCCCCCCCCGCGCAGACTCTGGTGCCGGACGCACTGCGGCAGCGCCTGGGACGCATTGAGGGAGGGAGCGTTCCGTTATGGGGGGGGAGAGGGGGCGAGGGGAGAGGGCATAACGCGTGTTATGACCCAGAGGGTTTTCTACTACACAGAAAAACTCGAAATCATACCCACACCGATACCCTCGCCTCGTTTTCCCCTTCGTGAGTTTCTTGGGAGGCCTTCGTCGTCACCGCTAGTTTCGCTTCGAAATTGTGGTCAGAGCGCATCCCGGGAGAGATCCGGGGAGCAGCGGTCTCATGCCTTGGTTTCCCCGAAGAGCGCGCACTATCAAATGTTTGGCTGCCGTCTATTCGCTGCACAGTGTTACGCGGTCTCGTTCCCGTCCGAGCGGAGAGAGCCCTCGGATGATGAGAGTGGGCGCCGCCTGAGCGCAGGATCGATCTGGAGTCTATCGTGTGGGAGGGCGGCGGGGATAGACTCTCGTGGAGGAGGAGGAGGAGGAGGAGGAGGAGGTCCTCATTTCGGGTCCCCTCACATTCCGATCTTGTCCCCTTGCCGCCGTCGTCGTCTCTTCCCCAGGCTGGCCTTAGTGCCGAGCTGCAGCGGGTGGCGTGCGACCTGCGCTCCTGCGTCGGAACGCTGCAGGCTCCTCCTGCGCCTCCTCCTGCATCCCTCTTCCCTGCAGATTATTCCTCCCTCTCTCATCGCCAGACGTGTCGTCAGGGCGGGCCAGGGGTAGGGGGGCCTGAGACCTCCTCACAATCTATGACCTCGAAGCTCAACCAAATTGTAGTTACACCGATGGAGCACAGGTTTGCTCTATTGGGTGTGTCTCTCGCTTCGGCGCCGCGTCACACTCGTCTAAAACAAATCCAGCAGGGTACACGGATGGAGGGCAGGTCGTTTTCAAAAGGAGGCTCTCGCTTTAGCGCCGCGCACTCTCGTTGTAAAAACACGCAATATTTGCACGGATAGGAGGCGCGGTCCCCGTGGGCGAAAGCACACATCCGTCGATCTCCACGGCTTCGCGGGCCGAGCCTCTGGGCCGCGACCCCGCGGATACGGAGCGCTTTTGTTGCAGATGCCCTGTCCAGAAAGTATATGTGCGATTGCGTGTCAGCGGGATCGCGGCCCAGAATCCAGACCGCGAGAGCGCGGACCCCGCTCGTGAGGTGCGGCGAGGGCCCCTTGATGCCACAGTCTGTCACGGTGGGGGGCGGGGGCGTTACGTCATGCTCCCGGGTCCACCCCCCTCCACCCCCAACCCCCCCAACGACGCCCGCTGCCGCCGCGAACCCAAGAGTGGTCTCGAGGGGGTCTGCCACCCCCGCGGGGGCCTCGGGCGGCGCGCCGCGCCCCTTCACAGGCCGCCCGCGCCGGCGCCGCCGGCGCGCTGCAGGCCGACGCGGAGCGCGGCGACGCGGAGGGCCTGCGGAGGGCCACCGTGGGGCCTTCGGAGGGCCTCCACTGGGCCGCCGGAGGGCCTCCGGAGGGCCCGCGGAGGTCCGCCGCGCCGGCGGCCGCCGCGGTGCCCGCCGCCGCGCCGGCGGCCGAGGCGCGCCCGAGCGTCGCGCGCGCCGGCCGGCTCCGGGCCGGCGCGTGGCGCGTATGCTCCTCCTCCTCCTCCTCCTCCTCCTCCTCCTCCTCCTAGCCGCTGCAGCGGCCCAAACCCCCCTCCTTCGCGGCTCATCCCACTTCAAAGGAAAGAGATTCCCCGCGACAGCGGCATGATGGTTCGCCCGCGGGGTCTGCCGAGCCCGTGAGGGGCGACGGATGGCTCTGCGGGGGCTGGCTTCTCGCTGGTGGCTCCCGCAGGCGGTGTTCGCTATCTCTGTTTGGGCGATGACGAGTACACCGAGCCAACGTCCCCCACCTCGTGGACAGACACACATCAGGGCATGCACGTACAACCCGATGCATCTAATCGGGCCCATGAGATGCTGCGACATATCTTTGGAGTTTCACAATACGGGCATTCTTCTACTACCAGGTACATGTCGGAAGAAGGGCGAAGACTCCCACCAGCTATTCTGTCATCCACGCCACTGGGAGATCTCGTTCGGGTGGTCTCGATCCAGCAATCGAGCGTGCGGCGTCTCCATCATGATGCACAACCAAGTCTTTCCCAGGCGCTGGCTGCGCCGCATCTACGCCCCGCCACCTCGTCTGGAGGGGAGGGCGGGGGCTGTGCGCCTGAAGTCGTCGACGCTGGACGTGCTCCTGATCGTGCTGTACTTTCCGTGCCAACCTTCGGGGCGCGGCCAGACGAAGGAGTACCGCACGCTGGTGCAGGCCCTCATAGGCTGGACGAGGACCACCATCCAGTCCGTCGGAGCCCGCTGCACGCCCATCATTGGCTGCGATTTGAACGACGGCCTCGGCGTCTCCCACGAGACCACCGCGGACGAAGCAGCATTGCACTATTGGGAAGAAGAGGACGAGGATCGAGCTGTGGGCAGTTTCTCCCCCTCGGTCGAGGGGATTGCAGGTCGCCTCTGGCACCAGATGCTGAACGATACCGAGCTGGCGGCCTGCAACAGCTTCGTAGACGCGGGGCCCACCTATTATGGGAACATGGGTCGCAGCAGCCGCATCGACTTCATTCACTTGCCTCAAGCCCTCATGCCGTACATGACGAAATGCCAGGTGCTATCGAGGGCGGGTCGAAGGCTACAACCCATTCAAACATTAGACGATCGAGATCATCGACCAGTCTATGTGGAATTCGCATATTGTTTTCAATCGCAGATGGGTTCAGCTCCAGGCTGGGATTTTGACCGAATCATGGCGTCGGCCCGAAGAGGCCAGCAGTGCACACAACTTATCGAGGACATCCAGAGCGAACTGATGACGATACCCGATGAGGAATGGATTCGCATGTGCACAAGGCCCACGACGGACGAGTTATGGAACACCACGGCCACGCTTCTAGTTAACAAGGCGAAGGATCTTATCAGCAAGCCAACACCGGCCGAGGAGCTCAAGTCTGACCTTGAACACCAGCGCTCTCGCACCTTGGAACGGCGAAAACTATTGAAAGGCACACTTACAGGGCGCGAGACAGCCTCCTGGCAGGACACGGAATTGGAATTAGCAAGGCTTACATTCAGAATCCGTTCCTTGTCCAAGCAGATCACGAAGGACAAGACGGCGGCGATAGTCCAGGAGTTGAACGAAGCTTGGTCCGCCCATGACCACAATACAGTCCAGAGACTGATACGCCGTCTGTCTCGACGAGGACGTGGTCCTCGCCAGCGGCGTTACTTTGTATGCAAAATGGAGCAATGCGAAGCCGAGCAGATAAGTTCTTTTCTTCAACTACCCGCAGCGGCTGGTGGTATGGGCGGAGTTCCTTGTGATTTACAAGCGGAGTTGGTAGAACGGTTCGACAGAACATATTTCGAGGACGAGGAAGATTTTGCCAGATCCGAAGAGGTGAGATATAATATCTTGCAGGCCATCTACCTGGAACAGGCACAGGAGGATCTACAGGGCATGATACAAGTGCTGAGATCTTCCCCAAAACGTCGGGCATGCCCCCACTGGTCAATGCCGTCTGAATTATGGCTACTACTTCTTGATGAGGCGGTGTGGGAGACCTTCACCACAGGTGGAGTGGGGGCCAGCTCGCGCCCTTCGACGGCCACCGCTTTCCTCGAGCGCATGACGGACATCATCGCTACGTTTCGGCGAGCTCGCCAATCACCACTACTCTACGACATCTCTTCCTGTATCGGACTGGACAAACGAAACGGAAAGCTTGGGGCCGCGGGACAGCGATGGATTCACTTGTTCTGCCCGATGGGCAAGGCATGGCATTCTTGGCTGTGGCAGCGGGGCAGACAGGTACGTGAGCGTCTCCCATACCATTGCCACGGGTTCGTGCCGAGGCGCCGCCGCGAGGACGCAATTGCCGTTCAAGCATGTGCATCGTGGCGCCTCGAGCAGGAGGGCTTGTCTCACGCGATCGTCAACGAGGACGCCTCGAACGCTTTTGCGAGCACTGACCGAAAAACTGTCATTGAGACCCTCCCGTCCTTGCATCGACAGGAAGATATCGTATTCGAACACCGTCGTGCAGTTCAGGGGGCCCTCCAGATTGAATCCAACTCGGAGGTGATTACTCTTCGGCCCGCAACAGGCGAAATGATGGGACACCCCAATCCTGCCCGTGCCTTCCCCTATTACTACGAACTCGGTCTCGCCCGTTTTCACGATCATCGCTCTCGGACTTCTTCTCGGCAGTATGCAGAGGCCATCGAGATAGACGGCACTTCCTCCGATGTAGGCTTAACGATTTTCGCAGATGACATTACGAAGATGATTATTCCAGGGTGGGGACCCGAACCTTTCTCGAACGGCAGCGAGGCGGCACCCTTGGCGGCGCTGGCGGAGTCGAGTAGCAACAATTTGAGTGAGGCCCTCTCCGAGATAGGTATCACGTTGAACCCTGAGAAGCGGGTCACTCTTGCTCGCATCTTCGGTCGAGGCTGCATAGGTCAACGACGCCTGTGGCACAGCGGTGTTTTAAAAACTTCAGGGATCCGAGGTCGTTATATCAGGATCCTGGGAGGCTGGCTCACTTCCACGGGGTCCCTGGCCGTCGAGAAGTCGAAGCGAACTCTGGCGGGAAAAAACGGTCTGGGGCTCATCTCGTGCTTCCTGGTCAGGCCAGCCGCTCGTCCCATCAAGCGCATGGCGATCATCTCTTTCGCACAGGCGGCCCTCCTCTCGGGCATGGAGGCTCGCGTCGTGGACTCGTCTTTCTGTGAGCAGTCGGACCGTGTGTTGATGTTGGCTATGCGTAGGGGCCTTGGCCTTCAGGGGACCACCCGGAGCTTAGAAGGAGAAATTCGGCGCTGGCCCGCAAAAAAGGTCTGGGAGTACTGGAAGATCCGACCTACCTTCGAGGAACTCAGAGTACGTCGTCTAGGGTGGCTCCAGAGTTGGGCCCGTTTCCCTGAGGCCCACCGTCAAGTTCGGGCTTGTATCTTCGGGGCCATCAACAACCAGGATACCCTTGACGACAACTGGGAACTGACCCCAAAGGCCAACCCCTGGGCTCGGCAGCTACTAGAGGACCTCAAGCATGCCCATGATCTCGTCGAGGATTTTTACACGCTGGTCCCCTCGGGCTACCCCCTCGTGAAGCTGCTGTACCTCCAGGAGTACAGGGACTGGGCTTTCTTGGATTTCACGGTCCTCCGTGCTGCAGCCTACTCGCAGTCGTTCGCACCGCCCGAGTTCACCCCAGAGGCCCCCGAGGTCCCCGAGGAGGAGGAGGAGACGGCCCAAGAGGGCCAGTTCATCTGCCACATGGTGCTCAGCACGGGCGCCAAGTGTAACGAGAGGTTCAGCACCATGAAGTCGCTCCTCCTCCACGCAGGGCGGGCACACAGAGTGCGAAACGAAGCGTCCCTCTTGACTGTTACAAACCAGTGCTTTCGCTGTATGCAAGTTCTGAGTACAAAGGAGAACGCCGAACGCCACGTCATGAGATCCTACAAACGTAACATCTGCAGTCGGGGGAGGAGCTCTTTCTTAGCGCAGGACGTGATTATACCTGAAGAGTTGCATTGCCCAGTCTGTTGGCATGAGGCTCAAAGTCTACACGACCTTCAAGTCCACATCAGGTCTCATTGCTCTCTCCCACAGCCGGTCATCCACCAGCGTCGCCTTCTCGATGGCGGCCTCCACCGAAGGCGAAATGATGGACCTCGCGGCTCTCGTGGAACTGGGCAAGCGCAAGAACGAGGACCCTGGTGGCGGCGGCGAGGAGGGCAGGGGCGCAAAGTCTCGGAGGTCGGTGGCCGAGGCAGCAGACGCAGCAGAGGACACGCTACACCAGGTGGAGGGCGCGCTCAAGGCAAAAGACGTTGCAGCGGCGCTGAGCCTCCTCCTAAAAGGTTTCTGCATGCACTCTCAACTTCTACGAGACCTCGCATCGGTGGTATGGGTGAGCGTGATCCTGCCGACGCTGTCCCCGATTATCGTGGCCTGCAAGGCCGCTGGCAAGCTCTACGCGGAGGCGGCTGGGCTCCCGACGGTGAAGGACAAGCTCGGACCTCCACATTTACACATAGCGCGCGCAGGATTCAAATGTCTAGTGGAGGCGGAGACCAGTATCAAGATCGGCGGCGAGGCGATGGACTGCGTGAAGTCGTTCTATCAGAGGTTCGTACTGAGCGCACGGATGCAGGAGCTCGGATTATCAATCCGACACTTCCGCTGCAAGAAATGCTACAACGAGGACATGACGAGACTACAGTTCGCCGTGGTGGACGGTGTGAGCCTTCAGTTCGACTCGGGAGGCGAGCCAATCACGTACTCCAAGCTGATGATCGAGAACGCAGTCGTGGTCCTCCTTCGCGGCATGGGCGGCACGCTCAAGCAGGGGACCGCCCCACAGGGCCACCTCGAGACGCTGGCGCAGAAGATGCTGGACCGTCACAAGCTCGGCGGCAAGGGCAGGGGCAAGGACAAGAAGGAGAAGGCTTGACGGAACCATGGCGTGCTCGTATGGAGGCACTCAGAGAACGTATCGCAGCAAAGGAACGAACGTCAAACACACGGTCGGGACCGCACCAGGGCTTCGGGACCGT